TAGTGTACTTGGGAATAAATAACTATAAATCATTTTATAAAGGTTTTCTTTATATGTAGTTGCTAAGGTTATCTTGAGATTTCTTTCCCACAGCTTTTGCCATTTCTGTAACTCAATATTATATCCAAAATTTTGTTCCCATGTTATAGTTTTCTGAACTTGTTCTTCTTCCATTTTCATGTCCAAAAGAAAATTATACAATCTTTTAATCATTTTTTCATGTGATTTTGAAATTATTTGATCAAATGTTGTTAGTTCCTTATAAAAACCATACATTCTATAGTCTTTAGTATATCTCGATTGTATTTGTACCTTATGCCACCAAGAAATATCAATACGTGTTCCTGTAATTCTTGATTTGGTTTCAATTTTCTATCATTATCTAAAATATCATCATATCTCACAATCATATTAAAGTTTAGTGCATTTGGATATGTAAGAGCTTCCACAGGGGAATGCCATCTTGGCAACTTAGTATAAAGCTTTGTCTTTAGCTTTTCCCAGACCGACATCAATGAATTTCTAATATAATGGTTTAAGAAATAGCCGTGTGTCTTACACTTCTCTTACCACATAAAAGCATGCCATCCCATTTGTAAATCATATCCTTCAAGATGTAAAATTCTCTTATTTCTTAAAGTTATCCATTCTTTTAACCACATTAAAACACAGGCTTGATAATACAGCAACCAATCAGGAAGGCCAAAGCCCCCATTCCCTTTGGCTTCCTGAAGCATTTTTAACTTAATCCTTGATTTCTTCTTTTGCCATATGAATCTCAGAACTTGAGTATTTAAATCATCAAAGAACTTTTTAATCAATTTTTATAGGAATTGTTTGAAATGAGAAAAAAAAACTTTGGTAATATATTCATTTTAACTATTGCTTTTCTTCCCAACAGTGATAATTGCAAATTAGCCCATTTTTCTGGATCACTTTTAATCTCCTTACATAGTTTAACATAGTTGTGCTCTTTCAGTATAGTGCATCTATATTCCCAAATATGTAACCTTTTTAACAATTTGAAGGTCTACTCGCTCCCTCAAAGTTGTTTTCTTCTCCAATGAGAGATTTTTCACTAACAGTTTAGTCTTTTCTCTATTTATTTTCATCCCATAATCTTCACTATAATCTTCACCATAATCTTCTATCTTTTTTAAGAGTTTGGGCAATGTTACCAAAGGATCTACTAGGATAAAGACTAAGTCATCTGTAAATGCTTGAAGTTTATAGTTTTAATCACTGATTGTAGCACCTTTAATATCCATATCTTCTCTAACCTTTCTGTTTAAAACTTCTAGAATCAATATAAATAACAATGGTGATAAGGGGCATCCTTGTCTTGTGCCCTTTTGAATGTCTATAGTGTCTGTAAATTCTCCATTGATTATTATCCTGGCAGTTTGTTTTTGATAGATACTTAATATCACATTAATAAATTTTCCACCAAATTCCATTTGTTCTAATTGCTGTTGCATGAATTGCCAGTTAACATTGTCAAAGACCTTCTGTGCATCTAAAAACAATAGTGCCATTGATTTTTCAGAATGCATTTCATAGTATTCTAAGATATCCAAGATAATTCTCACAGTGTTCCTTATTTGTCTCTTAGGTAAAAAACTGTTTTGATAAGTATGTACAAAGTCTATTAGGTATTTCTTCAGTCTTTTTCCACTACAGAAGCAAGAATTTTATAATCCACATTTAAAAGTGATATAGGTCTATAGATTTTAATCTGTGTCAAGTCCGTATCTTCTTTCGGAATTAAGGTAATATTTGCCTCAATCCAACTGTTTGGTATTTTGGCATCTAACAATGCAGCACTGCATATAACCTTTAGAGGTGTACATAAAATTACTTCAAAACATTTATAATACTCCTCTGGTAGTCCATCCAGGTCAGGGGTTTTATCATTCGTTTGTCTCTTAATCACTTCAATTACTTCTGTCATTGTTATTTCCTCATTTAATATTTTTTTATATTTCTCCTGCAGTTTTGGTAGATGTTCCTTTTGAATATATTCATAAACCTTCTCAATTGATATTTCTTTAGCTTGATATAGCTTTGTAAAGAAGTCTTGCACTATTTTCTTAGTTGACACACTTTGTACCTGTAGTTGTCCTCCATCTTTCATCTTGAGTATTAATTTCTTTTCTCTTTCCTTCTTTAATTTATAGGCTACCATCAATCTGGTTTGTTCGCATTAAAAAAAATGTTTAGTCAGTTTCATTTGTTTAGCTAACTCATTTGTATTTAAAAGATTCAAATTTATGTTTTAAAGTATTCATCTGTATCTTGAGGTCCTTTTTTGATGAGACTTCCTGTAACTCCTGTTCAAGCTTCATCAACTCATCTATTAGTTTAAGTCATACTTCTTTTCTCTTTTTATTTGTTTTTGCTGAATAGGTTATAATCAAGCCTCTGACATATGCTTTAACAGTGTCCCAGACATTTTGTAGGGAGCTTTCTTCAACTTTATTTTCTTGGAAAAAATAATTCATTTATTTCTTCTTTAAAGATTTCTATTTTTTAATAAAGATTTATTGAGTGTCCATCTAGGTGTTCTTATTGTTCCTTTCAAAGTCATGGTTATAGGATTGTGATTGGCCCAGACATTTGTATCTATTTCAGCTTCTAACAGATCTGGAATTAGGTTTGGGGTTATCCAAAACATATCAATTCTAGACAATGACCTATTTCTATTTGAGTAAAAAGTATACTTGGCTGAAATTGTGCTTTTGTGTCTCTAGACAACTATTAGCCTAAATTCCTCTAGTATATTAAAGAAGGACTTTGGAAGTATTCTCCTTCATCTCTTACCATTAATGTCACTCTTGAAGTATATATTTTTTGTCGACAATTGCATCAAAGTCTCCCATTAAACACAGAGTTTGATATTCTGTTTGTAAAAGTAGAATGTGTAATTTCTGGTAAAAAGCTTCTTGATGATCATTAGGTGCATAGATCTCCACCAGACGCACTTTTTTTTTTTAATTGACACTTCAACCTATAGAATTCTACCATCTTCATCTGAAAAAGATATATTTAGGATCCAATTTTTCTTTAATATATAAAGCCAAACCTCTTTTCTTTTGATGAGTGGAAGATATAAATAACTTGCCAAGTTTTGGACATTCTAAAGGTTTGTGGTTTTGTCTTTTTATGTATATTTCTTGTAAGCAAATTACATCTAATTTCTATTTTTGAACTTGAGAGAAAGTCCTTTTCTGCTTAGAAGGTGAATTTAATCCATTTATGTTCAGAGGAAATAATTCAATTCTTCCTTCCATTTTAAGAGCAGTATTTTTAAAATACAGATTGTATTTTGTATTTAGGTTTCACGCTTCTACCTTTTTTCTTTTGGCTCTAATGACTGTTTGTCCCCTTCTTGGTCTAAAGTTACTATTTCTCCTTCTTCTGGGTGGTAAGATGGTACATCCATTGCCTCGCCATTTTTCCTTCTTTCCTTTTCTTCAGTCCGCTCTTTGTCTTCAAATGAACTTCTAAATTTTTCATAAAATTATTGGGCTTTGAAGATTGAATCCTGTCTGAATCCTGTGGAATTCCAAGTAAAAAATATCCCTTCTGGTTTGATCCATCTAAACATAATTCCTTTCATCATCAACTTGGAAGTGAGAAATTGCTGCTTCTTCTATCCTTCTCTGATTTTCCATGGTATTTATTTCAAAACAGTTACATCATGTACATCATCAAATTTTAATGGTTTATGACGTGAAGCTCTGAGGACATGATCTCTTACAAATGTTTTTCTAAATTTAGCATGAACTTCCCTCAGGAGTTTATGCCTTCTTACATAGTTTCAATTGACTCTATAAACCAGGTCAATCTCTTTATTGATCTCTTCCCTTTCCAAGCCAGGAGTGTCCGCTAACATAGTGTTTATTAAGTCACTTAAGTTTACATTTTTTTGCCTCTGGTATATTGTGAAATCATAGGTAATTAGACACCTTCTCCATCTCCAGTATAGCAACTGAATCCCATTCTGACTTATTTGTTTGTATTAATTGTTGCATCTCTTTATCCATCTTTTCAGTTTTCTCATCAATATCATCAGTCTTCTTTTCCATTCCTTGTATTTTTTGTTCATTTTGTACTATTTTGAGTCGAATATCTGTAAGTTGATTATTCATGTCCAAAACATGACTATCCAGTTTATCCAGTCTTTCAATTTGTTCCGAGGCCAATTTTTGAATGGCATTTTGAATAGACTCTTGGATAGATGCTTGCATTGCCGAGAGTGTTATCTGTGTCTTTTTTGATATTTTTCCAGATCCACAGTTTTTGCTTGATGTGTTGGGCTTACCATCGTGGATGTGGGTGCCAATGATGATGCATGAATTCTTTTTATGATGAAGATAAAGAATTTATTTGAACAATTTATTAGAACAGCCTGTTATAAAGGAAAGTGGCCACAACGTGGGAGCAGAAAGTCACAGAAAAAATTAGGTAGTCAAGATACCTGTTGCTACAGGGTGGCAGCAAAGAGTTGTTTGTTGTTATAACAAATGGAATAGTTTCACTTTCATGCATGAACTCCTGCAGAAGATCAGCTTCCCGTAACCTTTCCTTATGCTGCAGCCATTAATGGAGAAACAGCAGTGCTTTCTGGATTTTTATATATATTCTTTATTGAAGCAAATCAATACACAAAACTGTCTAGATAGATCAAAACAGTTACAGGGACAAAAACATAGCACGATGAAAAATGTAAAACTTTCAATACTTTGGCATCACAATTAAATGCCACAGCAACATTCAGCAATTCTAAAGCTCTAAAAGTACCATCACATGTAGCATAAGTAGCAAATACTGAAGGGCTTTGATACTGAACGAAAGACACAAATCTTCATATAGAACCAAAGGTCACAAAGCAAATAGCCAGCTGAGCCTCTCTAGGGGGTGCATTGAATCTCCTGAGGCCACTACTGAAAAAACTATCCTGTTAGAAAAAATCCAGAGACTCACTCTAAACACACAAATCAGGTGGTAACTTGGCTTTTGATCATGAGATGTTCCTTTGTATTCAGATCAGGCCTCAGGACAATGATGTAGCACTTGGGAAGGAAAATGCAGCCCAGCAGCCCAGCGCTGGAGGCCAAGATGGAGAAGACCTGCACAGCCACCATGTACTTGCCCGTGGTGCTCAGGTAGGAGGGCACAAAGGACACCCAGACACTGCAGAAGACCAGCATGCTGAATGTGATCAGCTTGGCTTCATTGAAGGCCCCAGGAAGCTTCCTGGCCAGGAAAGCCACCATGAAGCAGATGGCAGCCAGGAACCCCATGTAGCTGAGGGCAGTGTAGAACATGGAGAGAGACCCTTCATTACATTGGAGGATGATGTGTCCAGTCTGGGAATGCATGTCAGAGTCTGGGAATGGTGGAGAGAAGCCCAGCCAGATGGAACAAATGGCGACCTGGACACTGGAACATGACATGACAATAGCTGTTGCAAGGCTTCTTCCCAACCACTTTCTAACCTTGTTCCCTGGCTTGGTGGCCAGAAAGGCCAGAACCACAGTGATGGTTTTTGATAGCACACTGGACGTGGCAACTGAGAAGATGATGCTGAAAGCCGTTTGTTGGACCAGGCAAGTCACTTTGCTTGGCTGGCCGATGAACAGGAAGGAAGACAAAAAGCAGAGCAGGAGGGAGATGAGGAGAGTGTAGGAGAGGTTCCTGTTGTTGGCTTTGACAATTGCAGTTTCTCCACATTTAATGAAGATTCCAAGTGTAATGCCTGAACTTAAAAGGCAAATTAGTGCAAAGGAAACAAGGAGAATCCCCAAGGGTTCCTCATAGGAGAGGAAGGTAATTTTCTTTGGGACACAGTGATCTTGGTCCTTGTTTGGGTGCTGATCGTCAGGACACCTGCTGCACTGCTCTGCATCTGGAAAGAAGGAAACCCACTTCAGCAATGCCACCATCAATGGGACATCCAGACAGCATCTACTGCACCTGCGAGACATCAGGAGGTAATCATGTGTGATCTGGCAGGGACAGAGCCCAATGTCCCCAGGGAGGGGACACACCTTTTGCTTCCCAGGCTCTGTCTGTGGCATCACCATCACAAGATGCTGTGAAATTGCAGGACATGTCAGCTCAAATCTGGAGGACATAATGGAGCTCCTGGCAGTTGGAACTAAAAAGTCAATATGAGCTCAAAGAAAGGATAATAAACTATGGCCTTTCTGGCTAAAGCGGTGGCATATAAATCAATCAGACAAACAAACAAACAGGTGATGCTCAACTGTGTTAAACCCACCATATTTCAGCACACAGTTCAGCAGTTTTAAGATTTGCTTCTCCAGAACAAGTGGCTCTGTGAAACTAGTTCAAGTGGTAGGAAATGGATAATTTCAATTTTGGTTTATTTCATTTCTATTCTACCTATAACGGAAAGCCATGTAGGTAGTTCCACAAGTTGCTAAAGAAGGTCAGGGTCTGTCAGAACACCTTGGGGGTGTTTTGTGAACAGCCAAATCCCATGGACAGGATGGAATATACATGGTTAGAGCCTCACTTGAGTACTTTCCTGACTACAAAAGCTACCCTCAACATTAATGTCCTAACGTGAACATGAGCTAATTCCTAAAAAGAAGAGGACTTCATCACAGTTGAGATAATGTAAAGAACAAGACAATCTACACTCCTAAAATGACGGAGCAAATGAAGATGTCTTTCCTTGCCACTGGGATCACAACATCTTTGGTAGTGTGTGAGTCATCTTGAGTACAGTGTTCCATTGACAGGGGGCCACAACCAAAAAGGCTCCCTGCTTGCTCACTAAGCTTTTTCTTTCACATTACACATAGAGAGTTTGGGCAGACTCCAGCATTTACCCTGCGTTCAAATGGAAAACAATTTTCTTTGTGGAGACCTACCTTCATGAGTGGAGATGGTCCCTTCTGCACATGGGGCACAAACATAGCAGCAGGGCGGCTTCCCTTCCTGACTCTCCTTGGCATAACCAGGGTGACAGCTTTCCACACACCTGGAATGAGGTACCACCTGGCAGAGAAGAAGAAGAGAAGGAGCAGTGTGAAGAGTCTATTTCTCAGCAGTGAATTGGATGTTCTGTACATTTCCACTAGGATGTCTTGTCCAAGTCACCACGAGTACCTTTTTGAATCAACTGTTGAGTGTGGCAAATTTATGTACTACACTAAACCAGTTTCCTCACTCCGCTTTCTGAGCACTGACATCCTTTCTTTAGATGTCGAGTGGTCAAGGCTGAAAAGTAAAATATTGTAAAATTGCTGATGGAATTGATTCACAAAATATCCCTGTGGAACAGAAGTGCCATTCAGAAAAGCTTTCCAACAGAACCCATTTGACGTGCTAGTGTGGGGCAGCAAGAAATGCCCTCATTCATCATTAATAATTTTGAATAAAATTGGCATGATTGTCCCAAATTGCTATTCTTTAGGAAGATTTGACTGCAGGCTTCAGTGAATGTGGAGATAGTCCATCTCTTGTTTAGAACTGAGGGGCCACACCTGAGAAGGGCCCTTCCTGCTCTCTGTTGCTTTGTCTTTTCCACCACCATCATCAGCAGCATCAGGAAGAAGAGGAAGACTCCAAGGGAAACACTGCCAGTTAAAAGGAATTATGGAACTGTTCTTTTTTCTTTCAATAAATATTATGCTGGAAGATATAAATTGAATTCATATGATCTCGATAGGACAAAGTGGTAGACTAAAGGCAGTACAGCGAGATCATGCTAAGTTTTGCACCTAAGAAAAAGAAGCCAATTGTTTGGCCACCAAATGCGGAATACTCAGCTCAACAATATTGTATGGGAGAAGGATCTTGGAATTGGTGTAGATCACAAGGTGAATTTGAGTCAACAGTGCGACGAAGCTGCAAAAATGACAAGTGCTATTTTAATACCACATGCTGCATAAATAGAAGGCTAACTTCCAAATCCCATGAAGATTCACTTTATTGAGCACTGATTAGGCCTTATCTGGAGTGCCATGCCCAGTTCTGGGCACCAAAGTTGAAGAAAGATGCAGAAGGGTTGGGCAGGGGTCAGAAGAGGGGAGAAAAGAAGACCAGGGTCTGGAAACAAAGCCCTGTGAGGAGAGTGAGGAAACTGGACTGCATTTAGACTTGAGAAGAGAAGGAATATAGGAGAGAACTCCATTTTTGGAAGGATGTCACAGAGAGAAAGGTCACCATCTCTTCTTCTTTATCCCAGTGTTTAGGAGATGGAAGAATGGATTCAAGTTGAAAAAATGCAAATTGAGGCTAGATATCAAAAACAAAGGAACAAAGAAACAAAAGCCATTCCTAACTGTTCGAGCAATATGGCAGCGGAACCAGTTGCACAGGGAAATTGTGGGTTCTCCCACACTGGATGCATGCCAGATGCAACTGGACAGTCATGTGAGTTGGATGGTGTAAACTGCTGTCCCTTACCAGTGGAGTTTGGACCTGATAGCCTACTTGGTCCCTTCCAACACTCTGATTCTATGACTTTGTGAACATGCAGGTGGTGTCTTTCTTTGCCTTCAAGAAAAGTGTCTGCCTGGTATGTTTGCCGCTAGGAAGTCAGGCTTCCACAATGATGTAGTATTGTTGTGGCTACGAGCCCCATTCAGCATGGTATTCATAAACACATGAGGTTCCCAACTCATGGAGAATACAGGCCAGGCTTTTACTCATGGACACGGGAGAGCTACATTCCCCCCAGAGAAGCTGCCTCTTGCTCCAGTCCCCAGAAGTCACTTGGCCCTCTGCTGGCTCTGCTGCATCCAGAAACACCTCTTCTTCTTTCACAGGGAATGCAATGACTTTGGGAGCACCCAGGCTTCCCATTCTGTGCCTTCAAACTAGAAAACAATGCAATCTGCAACTTGTCATAATTCAGTTCACACAGACACAGTTTTAGAAGATTTCTGTTTTCCCTGTGTTCTGCTCTATGGGCAAAAATGGAGCTGAATGTTCTGAGCATTCCAGGGACACTTCTCTCAAAATCTCCCAATGACCACCACAGCAGGTCAGTGCATTTGCTAAATCTTTGTGGAGGCAAGAAGGAGCTCTGCAGCATCTCCATGAAATGGAAAGAAAGCCAGAAGTTGGACATGACATTTATACTTACAATGGATGTCTCAAATGTACTATTGCCCAGATAGTTGACATGATTTGCATGCCAATAATAGGACAGAAAAAATTTCCCCCACCTTGTTAAAATGCCTGGGCCACACAATGGCTTCTGGGTTGATGCTGAGCTTTCTCCCAGGGAGTTCCTCTCTCATCCAACTCCCAATGGTCACCAATCCAGGGGTACGATTGGGAAAAAGCACCCAATTCACAATATCCAAGTCGGCTTCCAGCTGTCCATGCTCGTCCAACTGCAGCCCATCAATGGAAGTGTTAGAATGCCAGATTTCTCTTAAGAAATTGTGGAACTAGAATGACAGAGAAGGAAAAAAGTTTATATTATCCATTCATCCATTAATTCATTCACTCATTCACTCATTTATCTAATTATTAGATTTGTATGCTGACCCACAGCTGTAGAGTTCTCTGGGTTGAAAGGATGTTCAACAGCCATCTTTGCTTTGAGTTCTAATCTGCTATTTATAGAAGCAAACACACATTTTTTTCTGAACTCTTATTTCACAGCTCAGAACTTCCTTTCATATCTTTTCTCTCCTCCCTTACCATTTTGCAGCTGAGCAAGATAAGCAATATCATGTAGTGAAGCTCCTTTTGCACAAAAACCTAGAAATCTCAGCTAGTCCCTCCAGGTATCTCCCAGATTCCTGTTCCTGATCTGGCTGGTTGTGGCTGATGAGAGAAAACCTTCTAGAGGCACATCTTTGGGGATAGTTGCCCACAGGAATGTCCTGTTACCAGCACCATCATGAGAGGAGTCCCCTCAAGATAGAGGCCAATTCACCAGCCTTTTCATTCTGGGGACCTTCATGGAAGTGTTGTCTCTTTAGACACTTCATGAGAAGGCAGAACTCCTTGGAAAAGACAATCCTGTTAGAGAGAGTTGAAAGAAGATGAAATGGAAGTCCAAATATGAGATGGATGGAATTTGTAAAGGAAGTCGCATCCTTGAGTGTGGAAGACCTGAATAGAGCTGTTGTGGTCAGCATATTGCGGTGGGCTCTCATCCACATGATAACATAAGCTGGAGATGACTTGATGGCACATCACGTAGTCAAAGAAGATATAACATAGATGGAGAAGAAATAACAACATCAACTGCCTGATAGCCAGTGCTGTCTAGACATAATGTGGCACTTGGCGGTATCTGGAATACGTTCTAAATGCACATGTCTACACAGAACTGCTGTGATGATGGGTCTTTGCTCCAGCTAGAAGTCTCTGAAATGGCAACAAACCAACTCCCCAGCAGGGAATTTGCCAATTCCTCTCCCTCAGGCACCAAGGAGCAACCATGGGACAACAATGTCAGCATGGCAGGAAGATACTTGGAACTCAACTGGTAGTGTCCAGTCACAACCTGGACTTGTTTGTGGCATTAAAGGGTCTTCTTTTGGCTGTTGCCAAGGGGGTTTTTAAAGTATGTTGATGTCTCTTCAGTACTGCTCAATGACTGGACAGGATGGTCAAGGAGATGGCATGTCCTCATCTCCCCTGATACAAGGTATTGAGAATAGGACAACCTCCAACCTCACACAAATGGAGATGGGCAGCCAGTTCAAGATCTTTAGCAGGGACATTCCAGGAAGAAGTAGGGTGGCCCCTGACAAGCTGCATTCTGCCATGGTTGCAGCTTTCATGCATCTTTCAGGGGTAGCTCTCCACAGAGCACAATGCAGTAATCCAGCACTTAGTTAACCAATGCCTGCCTGGACTAGGGGAGCCAACCTGCCCCTTCCTAAAATACTCACAGATGGAATGCAAGGAAAACTGGTGCAAAGACAATTGAGATACCAGAGCATCTCAATCAAGCTTGGAGTTCTGCATGTAGAATGGGCCAGGGACCGCTCCTTCTGGGAGAAAGTAACACCAAATATCAAGTGATGAAGTTTTTCTCCCAGTCTTGGAGACTTTGCCATCAGGTATAGGAACTTCCTCTTGTTATTACGTGCCATCAAGTCATTTCCAACTTCTGATTACTCTAGGAATGGAGGCCCTCTTTCACCAGTCTGTTCCGCTCTTGTAAATTCAAGGCACTGGCTTCCTTTATGGAGACATTCCATCTTAGTCTTCCATGCCTTCCTGTCCCTCAGCTTTCCCTAGCATCATGGTCATCTCCAGGGAGCCTTACCTTCTCCTTGGGCAGCTGAAATGCAGCAGCCACACTCTAATCATTCTTGCTTTCAGGGAAACTCCTGCCCTACTTTGTTCCAGGATTCACATGTTACTCCTCCTGTTGGTCCTGATTAACCACCAAGCTCCTTCAGCACCATTTTTCTGTCACAGGCTCTATTCTCCCAGGATCCAAAAATACTCTACCTACCATCTTCCAGTGCATTATTGAGTGCAGGCACTGGTGGAGGACTGCCATGGCTACAGCTCCAGCAGAATTATCAGGGACATAGAGACACATTTAATCAGTATGCTGTCCATCTTTTGCTCCAGGGCCCATCCTGACATTGGCAAAATGGAAGCTACTCATTTGAAAGAAGGTTTATAAACAAGAACATGTTTTGTGGGATTGAACGGCTGAGGGTTCAACTGCCGCACCCTGATCTCTCTAGCTTCTTTCTAAAAGCAGGTGTGGAGGTTGGAGCAGAGGCACTGAAATGCAGTACCCATAACATCCCCAAACTGAAGCTTACCCTGCAGGATCCCAGGGTGGAGCATATCAAAGTGGAATGATAGAGAAGGGAGAAAGAACTGGGACAAGCCCAACCACTTTCTGTAGGAGGGTCATCCATCAGGGGACAATGGGCATCCTCCACATAGGCTGCAAAATACCTGACAACACCTTCTCAAGAACCTGACCCAGAAAGGAGTTGTGAGCAACAAGGTAGCAGTTACTGAAATTTATGCAAGCTAGAAAAGCTTTCTTAAAAAATGGTAGTACCCCTTTGGGTAAGAACATTTTTGTCACACTCATGCCCTTTCAGTAATCGGCACTAGGGGAGCTCAACAGGATGACATTGGTCAGAAGCTTCATTGCAAGACCTTTGCCAGCTCATCAGGTGAAAATCAATGGAATGGATGGGGTCAGCAGGGGTGACAGACTTCTGAATGGCCTCTGATTACATCAACAAAGAAAGCAAACATATGCTGAAAGCAATTTCAGGAAACAGGACATAGCATACTGAGTGGTTTCAAGGAAAGTGCAAATGCTCCCAGGAAGCATTTTGAGGGGAGAGAAAAGGCAGGAAAATCAGCTAAATATACACTTCTGATATGACATGCCATCGGCAAGATGTCCTGTAACTGAACCCCAAATCTTGTGCCTGTTGCTGTGATTCCACATGAGGAAAGGGAATACCTGCCATGGCTGCAGCTTCTGCCCCTGCAGTCCATCTCCCGTTCCATTCAACAATGCCCACATGGATTGGGGTGAAGATGCAGCATTTAAGGCACCAGCCATCATTTGGATAATGAGGTAAATGCTGAAGGTGCCTGGAGAGAAGACCCTTTCCAGCTCCTCCTGGGGGATCATCTCCAGTTTCTCCTTCTGCCTGTAGCTTGACCAACTTTTCATGGAAAAAGCATGCTTTGAATAGAAACAGTTAAAAGCATTCTGCCAAAACCAATATGTAGCTTTAGAAAATAGTTTGTGATGGCTGAATGTTGACTTCTGGGGGCTCTTCATGATGAAGGAGAAAGTTCCATGGAGAGCCTGAAAGAAATCAGTACTATGCATTAAGTAGGTGTTAAAGTCTTGCACAGTGGTGGTGATCCAGACCTTTCCTCCAATTTGTTCACTTCCATGTATGCTATGCATCATCCAAATTGGAGCGCAGCCATAGAAAGAGGCTGCATAGAGAACAGCTGCATTCACTTCTCCCCATGTAGCAGACAAATGACCATGAGACATTCCAAGTACGTTTTTTTGTGGTAGCCTTTTTGTGAAGGCAATGCAGATTCCATGATTGATCATCAATGGGATTGCTGACTTCTCAAATTTTTCTCCATTTTCAGTGTCTGGCACAAAGAGTCCAATCCATGTCCAACAAAAACTCAAAGCCAGTTGGATGATGCCCAAGGATACAGTCTCTTCCTTTGGGGCCATCTGGTAGACGAATGGAAACTGAGTGCGGTCCTCCAGAGCAGGGTTAACCAAGCCATAACTGACCTAATGAAGAGAGGAAGTTCCTGCTAGTTTTCACTCTTTTGTCTGTAGGAGGAACATCAGAAGGCTGTGAACATGAAATCTCTAAGCAAAGGCCCATCACACAGGAAGTGGAGGTTGAGGAAAAAGGGAGGGAGAAAACATCTCAAGGATCATATCTACAGAAGCAATTCAATATTTCTTTGGGGAGAGTGGAGCCCTTCTCTGCAGAGAGTCAAGACCTCTCCCAACCCCACACCAGCCTAGCAAGTGACAGGACAGGAACAGAGTAGACGAGACTAGATGAGCAACTAAGATGGCTCTTCCTTTCCATTTTGCAGTGACTGTGGATTTTCTCCTTCTTCAAAATACTAGGCTGATGGAAGGAATTCTCATTGGACAGTTGCCCTGTTCCTCATAAGGAACATCCCAGTGAGAGATATGACTGGCTTTTTCCATGTCCTCAAAGAAAAATATATTCCTCCAAGTTCCACCAAAGTGCTGTTGTCTTGCTTGCCTTTCTAAAGTGCCACCTTGTGGGCATTCTAGACACTCATATTGTCCAGGATTTCGCTATGGAGGTTTTTCATAGCCCACTCCCCAAGAAGTATGTAAGGTGGGATTTATTTACTAGAAGTTTTGGATGCTGTGCACCATTTTATTTTGTGCTGCTTTTATTGTAAAACCATCCCGAGACACTTGTGGTGGACAGTATATAAAAGCTGTAAATCAACCAATCAATATTATCAAATGTGTTTGGCAAAGATTTCACTGCACACCTTTTCCATGCTCTGGCTTTCCCCTTTCTAATTTGTCACCAAGGTGTTTTTCACATTGCCATACTGCATTAAGAGTTAAATATTTGAATTTCACACATGCAATTTTTCATTCAGCATGATGGCAGTTATGCCCTTGCTACATGCTTTTCACACATCCACTCATCTGCAAGGAACAATGTGAAATGGTGGCATCCCTTCAGTAAGGGTTTTGCTGGTATTCTGTATTCCAAGGACAACTTTGCCTGCTTGTAACAGCTTTCCTCTTCAAAGCACCAGTTTCCACCTTAAGCCCCCTCAGCAGAGGACAGTTTTCCTCGGTGGGCAATGGTGCTTTTGGAAGAGGGCTGAGCCAAGCCGGTGCTAGTTGGATTTGGATAGAGCTGGCCTCCATTCCCCTCCACAGTCCTACCTGAGGAATCTTGTAGATGCCCGACATGGCTGCAATAAGAGTAGAGAAGTCTGATTCAGTTCCTTCGAGAATGGCCAGCAGGTTCTTCTTCTTCCCACAGCTGAAGTTGGGAAGGTGGCTTTCCCAAGCAGCAGGCAGGCCCAGCATGGCATAGGAAGTTGTCCTGGCATCAAAATGGCTCTCATAGATGTCGTAGCCCAGAGTGATGTTGGGTAAGAGCCTGGGATTCTCGTTGATCTCATGGATGAAAAGCAGGAAGGACAACACATGCCAATACCTCACAACTTGGAAACTGAAATGCAAGAATTATAGGATCTGGGCTCATTTCATGGAGAAGATTCAGAGGAGTTTCTGAATACAGAAAGAAAAGGATTCATTCAGACAGCGCACAAATGAATGATGGCATTCACTTGCAGCAGGTGCAGCCATGGCTAGGGATGTGAAAGGAATTTGAGTTATCCAGAAAATCCATTGCATTCCATGGTTTTGGCTTCCCTGATTCAATATCTATTCAGATCAACCCAGAGCTGAAGTTGCTGCTGAGCACACAAAGCATTTCCTGGATGTTTCATGGGAATAGTCTCACATGCTGCACAATTAGCATGATTCTTCCATGCCCAGCGCTGACTGTGGCAGCATCTGGACTCAGCTTGCTTTGCAGGGCTGGGCTAAGCATGAGAGGAAGTGCACAGATTCTGCAGTGGTGCATTCCAAAAGTGTGCAGAGGAACCTTTGTCTGGGCCACTAACTTTGATGGCTTCAATAGGAGAAGACTACTTCTGATGACTTTATGTTTTGTCTCTTAACAAAGGCTCGGCTTGACAATAATCTGATCAGAATACCTCCTCCAAGCTTTTGCAGGCTTCATCTTGTGCTCATCTTGCTCCACCAATCTATATCGACCTCCTGGTATGCGAGGGTGATGCCACCAGGAGTCACAGGAGCCACATTGCAAGTCAGCCACCCACCACCTGCCTTTTTTGACATCAGTTGCACCACTCAAGGGCAGCTGCACTTGGTGTGTGAGAGGGCTCTGCTTTCCCAAGGTGTGTGGCCCATGTCTTGGAGAGGTCCTCACAAGTGCTTGTCACACTAACCAGCAACTTAGACTTTGGGCCGCAGCAAAGTGAGTCAGCCGCCAGAGGAATGAGATGGATTTCTGCCCACAGAGAGATTGTTCACACATCCATATCAGAGGCAGGATCATATGAACATCCCTTGCTGAAAACACAAATGGAGAAGTTTTATTGCCCTCCTTCCATGTTTTGTGATTCCTCCTGGCCCCCCGTTGGCTACTGCATACACCAAATACTGGTGTGCCACAATCCCTGAAGGAGTCACAGAAACTACTTTGCACCTAGAACACTCTCAGACACATTCATTCATTTGCTCCCCATCAGAAGTATTTGATTTTCTCATTCACATGAGAGTGACAGAGATGGAACATTCATCTGGCTGATATTTTCCACTTGGGTATGTCAGGGAAGGACTTGGGAAGTATAATCTCCTCTCCTCCTTAAGATGCCCTCTCCTCCCAAAGATGCAAATACTTGAAAGAAACATCCCCATCCTCATGCCAAGGAACCCTGCCTGGCATTCAGCCTCCCTGACTTCCCAACAGATGGTCCATAATGGTTTGTTGCTACCTTATTTAGCAAAGCTGAAACTCACTGAGATCCAACACATTTGCTCATTCATAATAGGAAAGTGGCAGGAATCAGTGATTTGGGCAGCCCAAAGAAAGTCCACTTGGCTTCAGCCTGGCTTCTGTCATGCAAGTTGAAGCAAACAGATGTTTCTCCTCAAGGCTCAAACCATGCAAGCCATGGCCAGACACATGAGAGCTTAGGAAATTCTTCCTATTTGCCTTTAGAAAGCACAAGAGGGGCAAAATGCAGAGCAGAAATTCCTAGCGGGTGACTGTGGGACCAGAACTATGGGCTGTCTCCTGGAGAGGGGTGGAACTGAAATGCCAGTTGGAAAGCATGTGAGCATCATGACTTACTCCTCGCTCCACTTGGCTGGTGATTTATAAAAAACAAACTGTGGCTGATATATAAATGGTTGTGAAGAAACAATGCTGCTGATCAAGTAGTCTCCTGGCTGATAATAGTTATATGCTGCTTCCATAAACATATTCCAAGGACATTTTGTCTTCTGCATTTCAGAAACTGCATGAGGGAGCAGCAGAAGCAGCATGAAAACCTGCATTGGGATACCTTTGTTCAATTCCCACAAGCCTCATGTGCCTGCTCTTCTCATCCGCACCCCCAGCTCAACCAGAAATCTCTGACCCTGCAGACACACAGATGCACTCACATCTGAGCCAAAGGGGGCTTTTCTAAGCTTCAGTGGGCACAGTCCCTGCATCTCTCTGCCTGCCTTCAGCCTTTCCCAGGTCCTCAAGAGCTCTGCTGATGTCCCAACAGCCAGACTCTCAGCCACAAAGCACAACGTTTCCTGGTGTTGCCTTATTAGGCTCAAATGCAATCTCAAAAAGGGCCCAGGAGCATTGGCTGAAATCAACAATAATCACTCTGTTTTTGATCACCCTATGGGAGAGAGACAACCCTTCTGCTGCAGGACCCATTGCTTGTCTCATGGCACACAACACGGAGGGGGGAAAACATGTTGTTAATCCTCTTTGAACAGCCTACAAATTTTGCATCAGAGGGTGTGGTAAATGGGAGCTTGGCCAGGACTCTGTTAGAGACCCACCTGCCAACATGCCCATGTGGTGAACATCTTTTGATATCCCAGCCATGGGCTATATGTGGCCCTCTTCAGCTTTCCTCATTGTTTGAATCGATAGGCATCCTGGCTTCCACAGCTGGTAAAGGTGATCCTCCCCCTCCTTCCCCCAGGCAAGATTAGCCATATGGTATAGGGAGTTGTGGGAATGATTGGCCTTCGACTGAAGTCTAGTGGAATCCACCACTCTAGCATGAATGGGCTTCTGCTCTTGCATGATCCAGGAAACTCATCCCTGAGGGACAGGATGGAGCTCCGGACAGCCTGAACCAAACACTCAGGATGTCCTCAATGAATTGATGATACTCGACTGTACAAAGCCCAACACACGCCTGGGAGGCTGATCCGCTGCTTTCCATTGGCATCTGCATCACTGTGGGGCCCAGTGGCCTCTGCTCAGTCTTGCTATTAGCAGCACTAGTAGCAATTTTTCCCCAAACCTCCCTGGTTTCTCCACTGAAAACATCAGCTACTTTGCTAAAAAGTTTTGTATATTTCTTTACTTACCTTTTTGTTTGCCATGGGGCCCAGTACCTTACATGTTTACTTGGGCAGGGGAGATACATGCTCCCCCCCCCACCAAAGTGGGGCTTGTTGTGGGCCGGAGGTATTCACAGAAGGCTTCAGAGACTCCCTAAATGCATTTGGGACATTGGCAGTCACTAGGGTACAGTTTTGGATGTTTGTCAGCACATCGTATGAAAAAAATTCTTGGGAACCGGGTCTTGTCAGGACAGGGGCTCAGGCCAGCCTTGATGTCCGAATGTTTTCTGTCCTACTCACCATACACATCCGAAAGATCAGTGCCTCTGACTGTGTGTTGTGTTCTGGGAGTTTAGAATCAGTTGAAGCTGTGAGCTTGGTGGAGATGAGGGTTGTGTGAGGAAACGGTTTGGGGTGGGAATGCATCCGATTCCTTTGGGTCAGCTCCTTGCACACCAGCCTGCTCTCTTGCACATGTGTCTCACTTCTTGCAGCACATGCTGAGCCTTTCTGCATCCCTCCTCCATGCATGCACTCAAGCCCTTCTTTGTACTGCTGCTGGAGCAGCTGGACCCCTGTTCATGCTCATGGACTTTCCCTCAGCTCGACTCATTTTCAAGAGTGACCTGAGCAGGAGAGGGTGTTCGCAAATCAAGGAGGTGCGGACTCCAGGGAGTTTTGTTGCAACGCGAACAAGGAGAGCGGTGATCTATGAAGGATTCCAAACACTTTGTAGTTGTGGCTTGTACAGAAACAATGCAAAACTTCTGTGCCACTGCTTTGAAGATAAAGGATTCCGCATCACAAAGGTCTTTCAGATGGACCCTGAATTCATCCTTTGTGTCATGGTCATGCTTGTGCATGTGCATGCTTTTCCCCATTCTCTCTCTGGCAGGGCCTTCATCCTCTTTGCTGAACCCACCTTGTCCTGTGGCCTTTTCCCACTCCTGACCAATCCATTATGTTCCCAGATGACCCTGAGTTTTGGCCCTTGCATTTCTTCCCTCTATTCTAACTGTTTGCAATGGCTGGGCTGTGACAACCACACGGGGCTGCTTGTTGTGTATCCTGAGCCCAGCCACAGTGCTTGCTGCAGAACTGAGGAAACCTTGGGTGGGAGGGAGACACACAAACCACAGGGAAGACTTTCGATCTTGTGCACTGGCTCATGGAACAGCTCCCCTGGACCAGGCATGCAAAGCAATGCTGACCTTTGCAGCTATTGCCCTGAACCACTGTTCAGACTGCGAGAGATATGGCGTAAGCATCTTTGCTGAGACTGGGTTCCTGGGTTTCTCCCAGCCGACCTTGCTGGGTCCTGTGCCTAAATCCCCGGAGCTGCTTTTTGGTCTGAGCCATTTGCGGAAAGTGTGGCATCCACGTGCAGGCTTCCTCTGGTTCAAAACATGTGGTTCCTTCCTTGGATTGCACTTTGATGCCTCTCAGATGAACCTGCTCTGCTCATCTTACGTGTGGGCAGTTACTTTCCATTCTCTCAGTACTTTTTTAAATTCCAGAAATTGGGACTTAAGAGTGCTGTGTGAAACCACTGCTTGGAGAGGAAGTATGTGGGCTCCTGAAGGGGCAGAATCCCAGTCAGCATGACAGCGGGCATGAGGCCAGCCATGGTTAAATCGGGGTGCTGGGCAGATCAACCCCTTTCCTTATGCTGTGGCCATTAATGAATTTTATTACTGTTTGAGACCATCATGGAGCTGACATATTTTTCACCTTTCTTGGAGATATGGAATTAACAAATGATCAGTTAACTCCCGCCTTCTCTTGGGCACTGGATGGGGAAGGGGGTGACTGATGTGCTGGGTGGCAAGCCATGGCTTACAACCGGAAGGGAATGGGTGGAAATCTCACCCCAGCAGAGCCCTCGCCTCCCAGTTTCCCTGAGGATCAGCCCAGGCCCTCAGTGGAATGGTTCCAATCCTGACACCACCCTTGCCAGAACTTCTGCTGCCTCCATGAACATGTTTTGCGAGTGGCATGTGATA